GACTAACTAAAAGCTAAATATATCTAAAGGCCAGTTAAAAGGTAAAGGTATCAACAGGCTAGCTAACATAATAAAACAATTAGCTGCTTCACAATTGTATACCACTTTGTGTTGGTCTTTCACATTAAATTCCAGTGAAATATATTTATGTTTGTGGTTGTAATGTGACAAAATATGGAAAAGTTCAAGGGGTATGAATACTTTTGCAAACCACTGTATGTAAAATATCATGCAAGATGTTGTGCAGTGTGTTAGCTCTCAGAGTATGTGGTGAGGTGCAGAGTGCCGATGACTCAGTTTCAAGTGTACCGTGGCAGTCTCCTCTTGTGCTTGTGTGTTAACGACATGCTAAATGCACATAGCTGTACATAGTACACAGCAACATAATAATAATTCTTGTCGGTTATTTTGTTGCTCCAAGAAGCTTCATCCACTCACTCACCATTGAAAACTATAAACTAAACTTATTAAAGTGTAGACAATAAATGTCAATTATAACATTATTTTCAAATAAAAATGCTCCTTTTCTTATACATATTCAATTTATGATGACAAAGGCAAAAGCTGAGACTTTCTGGCTGTCTTGACCAAACCGGTGTTTTTGATGCTCAAAACCCAGTCTGACAAATTGTGAAACAAAACTGCTTCATGTTTAAAAGATTGTTCAAACTAAGAAAAAGAACAAGCACAGTGTAATATCGATAGCGTTGTTTTAAGGCTGACCTGTCCGATACCCAGCCAGTCGGCAAGGTCTCGAGCATTGGCAAGAGCCGTGGACAGGCCCACAACTCGAATGCTCCTAGACGTGTGGGAGGAGATGAAGTTAGTCCTGGACACGATGACCTCCAACACTGGACCTCTGTCCTCACCTGGAAACACACACAGTGGAACAGGACAATCAGTACTGTCAGGTAACACATGTTTAGGACTTCACATTGGTAAGGCTGAAGTCCTAACAGAGTCATGAGTGCCATGCCCTGAGTATGTTGATCTGTGATGGCACAAACTGTCTCAGGGTACAAAAAGCATCACCTCATCTTGGTAAGGGTGAGATGAGGCCTGTTTGTGAGGTTGAGCAATGTCAACTAGATATAGTTGGGCTCACCTCTCCACACAGCTCAGCCTCTAGAAGCTAACTACTGGAGTGGGGCTGAAGTCTTTCCTACAGGATGTCCTGATGCATCTCAGTAATCCAGGTAAAAAATCAAAAGGAAAAAAATTGTATAGGTCTTCTGGACGGGTTCTTCTCTAATGAAACGTTTCGTCTCTCTTCCAAGAGACTTCTTCAGTCTGAGAGTTTCAGGCAAAATTCAGGCTTTTGAGCCTTTTGAGGAAGAGAGATGAAACGTTTCATTAAAGAAGAACCCATCCAGAGGACCTATACAATTTTTTTCCTTTCCTACAGGAGAGAGGTAGAGGCATTATAACAAGTCCCAGCTGACTCTAATTTAAGTTTTACACACTAAATGTCACAAAAACTGCATTTTATCATCTGAAAAATATAGATACAGTTCAATTGTTTCTTGTCAGTCCAATGCAGAGACCTTATCACCTTCAGGATTGATTAATGTATTGCTCCGTTTTCTGGTCTTCTTTAGAAGGATGTCACATCCCACCTATATGGACCTCTCAGCGTTAGTTTTCTCTGCATTTTTTAATCAGTTTTACCATTCTTTCGTTGGTTTGGTCTGATTTGTTAATGGTCTTAATCCTACCTATTAATCAAATGAATGTATATCTTATGAGTCCCCCAGACCCTCCAGGTCCTCTGGAAACAGTTTTCTGATTGGAGTTTTAAAGGGATCCCCGATTAGTTGTAACATTAGACTTTATTTAATAAACATACTGTATATTTTAACTGTAAAATAAAGACTGTAAAAATACTGTAGGATGTTTAGTTTTTATAATTTTTAAACTAAAAGTTTAAAAATATGTTACACGGACAGGGTCAATTTATTTACACGGAAAGCATTCTGGGTAAATGATGACGTGGGTAGGTCATCAGTGCGAGGCTGCTAGCGAGCTATATCCACCCTGAAGATTAATCTTGGGCAATATCTAACGATTGGCTTTTTTAAATGAAACCAGAGTGTTGACAGAGAGGAGAAGGTAGATGGAGGACAACAGAGCTGCTTCATGGAAGAAGAACCTCAGCTTAGC